GCTTATGTCGACCACCAGAGCATATGTTGACGTGCCGGCATGCAATTTGTGATACCTGCGTTGTGATTTTCGGAACACGGAACAAATGCGCTGAATATCACTTCGATATTATGAAGTGTCCATTATGCCATAAGCCTTCTCCGCTCACAATTCGTCAGCTACCGCCCACGAAACGACCCCTTGTGCTTAGTCTAGATGGTGGTGGGGTCCGTGGCATCATTCAACTTGGTCTCCTACGTGCATTGGAAAGCCGGCTTGGTCATGGAATATGTATACGTGATATATTTGACCTAAGCACAGGAACAAGCGTTGGTACGTGGCAATTATATTATCTAGTCAGCCCCGGGAATACTGCTTTTGTTTTACCTTTCTCCTCATGCACTTGGATTATCTGACCATGAAGCAGGAGCCTTGAACGAAATAGATCTCATCCTGAATGGCACCTCGACCGAAGATAGTTTTCGGAAATTCCCAGCTTTTGCCCGAAAAGTCTTCCAGTTGGCCTCGGCGCCGTCGCAAAAACTTTCAGTTACTAGTTGCGCTAAATGGATAAAATGTCTGGTCGGCTTCTTTGCAGACGGCCAATATGATGGAGACAACCTGGAAAATACACTTAAAGAAGCAATCAATCCAGCGCGACGAATGTTTGATGTGAGCACAACACTTTCTGCGGGCAGTCGACTAGCTATCATTACAAGTCGCATCTCCGATGGGAAAGCTTGCGTGCTCGCAAATTATCGTGGTATTGGTCAACGTGCCGTCGATTCGGCATACGAGTTTCTGAAACCAGAAGACGAAAGCCAGAATCCTTTTCTTTGGGAAGTGTGAGTGCTATTGGTCCTTTGCCCCTACATCCTCTCGGCACCTGGTTATATTCTGTCCTCTGTTTCTGGGGAAGCTAACATTTGCCATTGTACAGCGCTCGATGCAGTGTCGCCGCTCCTTGGTAAGCTATTTCAGCAATAGATAATATATTTTCCTGCTCAAGCTAACATTTAGTCAGGTTTTTCCAAACAAAATCTCTCCCCGGATTTGGTCCTTTGCAGGACGGTGGAGTGCGTGCCAACAATCCCTTAGCAATCGCATTGAAAGAATCCGCCATTATTTGGCCTTCACACGGGACTCACGACCTGCTTGTCTCAGTCGGTACGGGTCTTCCAAGCTCCGAGGCTAAGGCACAAGATGCCCCTATGGGGAGCATTCTCCAGGACGGGGCAGTCCCACGCATTATTAGAGCGGCAATGTCCTCACCATCCATGGATGGCGAGCAGGGCTTCTATGAGGCACTTAATTATGTTCCTGACCGGATGAGAGCGCATATATTTCGACTAAACCATTCTCTTCCTTGGCCTTTACCAAGACTGGATGATGTGAGTAGATTGGAAGATCTTTCTGAATTGTCATACGGCATCCCAGATGAGCTTGTTCGTGCCATACTGGCAACAGGATTTTTGTTCTTTGAATTGGATCAAGCGCCCGTCAGAGACCAGGGAATCTTCTATTGTGAAGGTTCAATTCTCTGTTCAAGTCCGCATGCCAGCTACCTGATCAAGAGAGTGCTCGCTGAGTTTCCGGGACCTCGATTCCAAACTGCAGGGGGATATCACCTTGGCCCGGTTAGCAACGATGACGGGTGTTCTGAGTGTGGGTATTATCGCAAAAAGGTTGCTTTTACTGTTAATAGCCTGGAAGAGGTTATCTCAATCGAGATTGCCAACTCTACTTTTCATCACAAAATCGGTGGCTTTCCAAAATCCATGCATGAGTTTCTCAATGATCAGCAAGTATACGCAAATTTCGGCCGTGCGGATCACCGAATCGCTTGTTGGCCGTCAAACAGAGTATGCTACTGCTCTCGGGGAACAAAACGCCGTGTCCAATTTCTGGAGCCATCCCCAGACAGAAAGAAATGTCGACTATAGAACTTGGGGCTTAGACCGCTTACTGCCGTTCTTTGCGATGAACTTTACGCTCTAGTATTGCTAACGTAAAAGCTTTTGTACTGCTTTGATACTGAGGAAATTACCCCTCTATTGATAACGAACATGTTACATACAACCGTTATATTTCAGGTCAACTGAAGATCTTAGAAGTAGGCACATCTCTAATATCGAAGTAATCAGTACGCCTCCGGGTAACACTTGAAATCAGGAGAGATTGTGCAATAGATGGGATGTCGAATAATACAGCATTCCTTCCAAGACACTTTCAACAAGTACAATCGGCTACTGCTTAATCACCGAATAAAATACGCAATTTACTTGACGCGGGTTCAATGCAGGTTTAGGTATGCAAATTAGTCATTTTCATCCCAGGGTCTCAATAATGGCAGTCGGTACCGGTGTTCGTGTTCATTATTGAAGCGCAAGAGCATGTAAATCCCTACTATTGCGTGAGCAAGGCAGATTACTCCCCTATTTAGCCGTGGTTATCACCCATAGAAAGAAGATTAGGATAATCATAAACCACGCTCTCCATGCCCGCAGGTTTGGCCAGAGATTGCGAATTAGACTGCTAATCTGACGGACTGTTTCATCATGTTCTCCTAGCACTATGTTCAGCAGTAATGTAAGTAGCTGTGATGAATTTTGAGGGAGTGGCCGGTTAAGAGTAGTACTGCAACAAAGCTGATAGCTACGAGACCTTGTTTCCCGATATGCCATTTGGAGTGACAGATATCGGGATTAGGTGACGCGGGGTTCTCGCTAATCCCCATATTCGACCACTCTCCTCAATTTACCACTCTCCCTCAACTCACCACTCTCCCTCAACTCACCACTCTCCCTCAACTCACCACTCTCCCTCAACTCACCACTCTCCCTCAACTCACCACTCTCCCTCAGCATTCTCTGTCATTTCCATGCCCTGTCTATCACCCTTGATAGGTTGGGCATAAGAAACCTATGTTAGCTACCAGTGTTTTCTAATTTGGTTAATCGTCTGTCCAAAATGGTCATTTGTGATTTATCACATTTGTTCGGTACTACCTCAACGTGAGCCCATTGAAAATTATAGACTATGGGATAGCTCTTAGGATCTGAGGAGGCACTTCCGGAGAGTTCTTCAGGTGCACATCTATTTGATGCTCATTTCACTGAAGTTCGTGGGATGCCGACTCGAGGGTTCGGGAGAGTGCGGTCGATGTGAACAATATCGGCAAAGTAATTAATAAGTTTGTGGCTTTAAAACTCCGGTGTTATTTCCTTGGAAACAATTGTCCTTCTTCACATTCTTGCCATGCCCTTGGAAGCAACTGAGGAACGCTATTCCAGCGGTGCATCATCCAGCATCTATAGCCGATCACCCAGTTCACCAAAGCGATTCTTAATAGACTCTGTTGCGCTTCCTACCGGACATGACCTTCCGGAAATAAATTCATTGGACCATCAGATAGCCTTGGTTCGTGGCTCAACTATGGCTTTAGAGGTTACACGCACACGCCTTCAAGAATCAAAAGCCAGGCGTAGACTGTCGCTACCGGAATTACGGCAGGAAAAACTTTGCCAATGGGAACTCCAAGAAAGTGAAAACCAATTTTATCGCTCATGCCTCAACATCTTCAAGGACTTATCTAAAGTTGTCGCTCATGTGTCGGAAGGTCTGACACTACAATACCATTTTGAACCGGAAGTCAGTCCTGTGGGCAATACGCGAGTTTTGCAGGCAACCAAAGCCTTGCGCGACGCTTTAGAAAACTCTCGAGTCCAGGAAGCACGAGCCGAACAAGAGTGGAAACGTCAATGGAATGTCCCACGGATCTGGAATCCTACCACGCGGTGGATTTAACGCCGAAAAGTTCATAGTTCCTGTACCACTTTGAATGCAGTTTCCAAGCGTGATGTAAATTTCTCATCAATACAGTATCATCCAAGGTCAAACGAAACTAGTGATCCATTGACTAGTAGCCTTCATAGTAATATCTATGTTGCGTTACATGTAGCCAGCCACCTGTCCCCTTAGGCACCTATCAAACCCGAATCGACAAGCACGTCTTGTCTTGCCTCGTTGGCCAAATGCAAAATCTTAGGTTGTAATTACCAATAACCCAGTTCATAGTTATGCTTTCCAGATTTTGCGACTTAGTCAGTCAACAAGGAAAGATCTGGATGATACATGTATCTGTTTGGAAAACAAATAATAGATTTACCGTACAGGAGATCGATAAATAAGTCACATGGTTCTTTGTTTCCCACGTCGACCAATACACATTTATCATTGTTAATGTGTCTTTTCCTTGTGAGCACGCGCGGCGCCTTGCGACCGCTCCCTGTCCCAAAAAAACACACCCCGAACTGGACCCGGCCACGGATTTACCTTCATAGTCTGGGAGTTTGTCATATGTATATCAGTACAGCAGGCTTGAATAATGATGGCGGAAAGTACAGCACTGATGGATTTTGCTATTTGCTTGCTCTCTGTTGTCTCCAGAACCATGAATCGACTTTCTTCCATCTGTTCATCAAACTTTCAAGGCCTAGATCGTCCGCCGCAACACGGTAGAATGAGACCTACTCTGACATTTTTGTGAGACTAGGAGAACAATTCATGTTGGGGCTGAATCGTTTGCATCAGGCATATGGTACATGTATAATGGGAACTTTTTCATTTCTCACGTCTTCTCACGACATAGGCTAGGTCGAATTATTCGCATCAACCCCCATGAAGCGAGCATCCAAGATCCGGAAGTGGTAGCTAGTCTCAGATTTGTGGCAAAAGTCTCCGGCGGCACACCTCCTTAGTATGCATAGAGGAAGCGAGTTACCATTTAAGTCAATAAGGTAATTTTCTTAAACAAGAAAGATCAACATCATTTGGGACGATCTGCCACAATTCTCATCGCATACGTCATGAGGCTTCAAACTTCATATACGAAAGCTCAAAAGGCTTCTTAAGCACAATAACGAGCAAGCTAAAAACGATAGTTATACTGGTCTACGAAGGCAAGTACCATGAATTCAGATATAGACACAATTCTAGGCTGACATTAACACGTGGAACTTTTAGAGCCCGCCCAAGTGCTTGCGGTGGACAATGACTCTCTCCTTGGCGCAGATTATGGTTTTCTCATCAGGAGAAGCACCCACCTCCTGAAATCCGCTTGCAATCATATCGTTCTTGTAATTTGGCCAAGTAGCTACTATTTCATCCATCCGATAATTATAGACCTTCGGGTACCGTGCTTGGAGCTCGTTGTTCACTCCTTGAGACAACTTCATAACTTCTAGATATGGCCCGTACCCGAAGGTCTGATTTGTTGCCAGATCCAAAATCGCCCGCTGGGCTACTTGATAATCTGTTTCCGATTCTTTTATGGTCTCGGAATTTGCTGTATCAGTCGTATCGCATTGTGGCTTTGGCAAGAAAAGCCCCATCAACATGAGCTCTTCGTCAACGTTACAACTCTTTCCACGTTTCTCGGTGTTGCATTCTGGCTGATTATCTGAACAGGTGTTCAACGGACTGCTCTGATTTTGGGCATTCACCTCTTTCGTCCATTTCTCGTATTCCGTCAGTTGTGATTTATATGCGTCTAGAATCATTGCCGTCACTTTGCCTTTCTCTCTTGCAGTGGCCATTTTAGAAAGTGCGCTCCCTGGCATCCAACTCTCTTTACCGCAAAAGAGATGGACGTGCTCTTCTATATCTGTCCACTTGACCAGAGCACACATCGGGTTCTTTTTGAGGTCTTTTTCGGTTATTAGAGGCTCACTTGCTTCGGTATTGTTTTTAATCAATATAGCCACACCAACAATAGATTCGATTTTTCCAAGGTTGTATCGGCGGCGTAATAGGTTTGATTTTTCGCGAATGTCCAAAATCGATCCGATATTGCTACAGACAGGTTGAATATGCTTGACTTGATTGATATCACGAATCTCAGTCTTTTCCATCCTATATTTGCATCTTTGGTAGGGACCATGACGATATATTATGTGGACCCGCCCCCTAAGACAGTATCTAGCGACGGCAATCTCCTCTGTTTCTTTGCCTAGATCATTTAGACGCTCTTGTGGAAACCTTGAAAGACCTTTCTGTTTTGACGCCTTTGGGATATCAGGAGATGATCGAGCAAGGCCTTGATCCTCACGCCTACCCGAGGTAATGTGCGTTTTAGACATTTTTTCTTCTCGTCTGGTAGCAGATTCAGAATACGAAATCTCTGGCCGAGAGTCCACAAACACTTTGGTTGGCTCGACTCCTTCCATTTCCTCGGGCAAACTTGGGTTGGTTTGCTTTGATTCGGTTGGTCTTGTCACTCCCGCGTTGCGATCATCGAGGGACAGCTTGTCGAGAGTGCTGATTAAGCGATCCATTCTTCATATACAAATTTACTCTGTTGTAGCCCGATGTGTTTGATCAAAAACAACAAGCTCGGTTCTGCCAGGTCCAGCCTTGCGTAAATAAGCCTGAATGGACAAGAGGATACAAATTCAATGTTCCAATCACGAAGATTTGGAAGTACGTTTTCGATTGAACAAGGCGATAGGTAAGTTTTGGCTTCCACGATTCCTGTAACCTTAAAGTGGGTTGACAATGAGGCTGGCAAAAGTCTCTTCTTATGTCCATGTTTATAGAAGTCACGGCTATGAAGAAAGTAATGTAACCGTGCTCAAATATTGTTTCTGAGGGGTTATCTTTTGGGGTTCAAACATGTGTGGTCTTTGAGAGATAGAATAGCGATACTCAACGGAAATTGAGAACAGATCACGAGATGTCTCGAATTGCACACTTTAGGCGACAGCCGAAGCCCGTAATAAATCGTTTGATATATAGCACCATCCCATCATTGTAGCAAAGAGTGATGTGATGTTAGTAGAGGGTAGGTATTAGGGCTTTTTAGCTGTGTGTGAATTCGAGTCAAAAACCGAGCCCTCTAGCCATAGACTGTAGGAGTCAAGTTAGCACGCAGGATGTTGCTTGCCCGTTTGATAAAAAGGTTTATTGACAATAGTTTACTGGTCACTATCGTCGAATGGCTATAATGAACTCATTTTCTAGCGGGGCTCCCCTGGCAGGTTCAATAGTTGAGGTAACGCGGCTTTTGCGAGCTTGAAGCCCGCGCCACAGATCTATGATCCACAATTTTAATCTCCTATAAATACGCCCATCAAGCACGTCAGAAGGGAAATCAAACCAGTTCCAGTTGCCACACAGGTCAAAGAACTATGTCGTCCAAGAAGGTGGCTCCACGAATCCCATCCTCAAATACAGGGGGATCTCTGAGATCAACACCAGCAAGGGTAGAGGCAGAGCAAAGGAGACTGGCGGAAAAGGAAGAAAAACAGAAGCTGCTTGCCGAGCTCTTGAATCAAAACGCGCAGGGACAAATATCGGAGAAAGACAAAAAAACAATTACAAAATTACAAAAGCAGTTGGGGATCCAAAGCTTTAGTGAAGCCGTTCAAACTGAATCAGAGACCGTAAGACCGGCTACGAATGCCGATACGTCGGCCGTGGGCTCAGCAGTACCAGAGGTGGAATCACACATTGATACCACAGGAAACGCATCAGAACACGCCAAACGAGCCACGAACGGTGTTGCACCAGGCACGAGGACAGCAGAGCCAACTGTAAACTCGCAAACAAAACCTCAGTACTCTGAATCCGGAACTGAAGACGGCGATGGACACGAGCAGAATCCACGGACACATTCTCAGGGTCGTCAAGCCCCTTCTTCCTCTCCAGGGGCCAAAGAACAGGCAGTAAAGGCAAGACGGAAGAAAGCAACAGGAACCCAATCGAACATTGTTGAAGCTATGAGAAAGGCAGGGGTAGAAGTGGTTGAAGAAGGGTTCATCACTGTAGGAAGCAATATCTGGATGGTTTATGGCTACGGTCTCCCCAACGCGGCTAAGTACGAGATGAAAGTATTGGGATATTGCGATGAGAACAAGCTTAAAACACTTCAATGGTTGTCCAGTACTGGGAATCGTATTTCCCAATTGAAAAATGAAAATGGAAGACGACAATACAGTTACGATAACATTGAAAGTCTTGACGCCGCGACTGTCTTACCCTATGGGCGCCGCAAAGGGAAAAGAGGATTACACGATAATGAAACCGTATCCAAGAAGCCCAGATTTCGGTTGACACTTGTCCAAGTCAAGTGGCGAAATCTCCTTCCAGAGCATAAGTCACTGTCGAAAAATGGCAGAACCTGGGAGCCAAGATCTGACCTTTTAGGCATGGTACGCGAAATATACAAAGCTCAACTCGACCGGGAGATCTTTGAGTTGTGCGGGAGACAGGACGTGCGATATGAATCATGGCTGAAAGATAATCAAAAGTCTCATTTAGCGATTCTCAAAAGGCCTCCTACTCCGTTACCTGGGAAGCTTGAATGGATTTCCGACCGCAATGATGCTCGCAAGGAAGCCGCTCGAACCAGGACTGCTCGGCAGAGACCTCCCGGGGTAAGGAGTTCAGAAGATGCTCAAAGAAGGGCTAAGCATCAGCGCAACGGTCCAAAGAACAAGCGAAAAAGACGTGACGGACAAAAGGAAGATGAAGACGGAGATGAAGACGAAGATGAAGAAGAGGAAGAAAGTGAAGATGACAAAAGTGACGAAGAAGAGGGAAGATCCAGCGCAAGTGGAAAGGCAACCAGTAAATCTCCGAAAGGGTCTCGAGTCCGTATCCAAAATGCTGAAGGGGTGAAACCTCGAGCACCGGAAAAGAAGAACTTCAGCTACTTGTCATACTTATTTTCACTCTTGGCTCCACTAGGGATGACCCCGGACGACCTCGACAAAGAAGAAAACAAGGATTTGAGAGAGAAATGGGACGGCGATTGGGAAAAATTCAAGAAAGATATGGAGAAGGATGGTTGGACGTGCGTGGGATTGAAACCAAAGCGTTAGAAATCATACTTTGATTGCGCCTACATGTGATCGTCGCTGGCGACCCCGCACTGGCGAAGTCACAGATCTCTTGATTTCATTTGCAGAAATTGCAGATAGGATATCATGTGCTTCCTGCGAAGATCATTCGGGTAAAGCAGCTTCTCGGTTGTGACAAGGGTTTCTTCTTTGTTTTGAATGTCATTATGCCTCATTCAGTCTGAGATAGTTCCAGCAATTGATATGTAAATTATCTTACGCCGTGGGCATTAACTCACAACTCAAGCAGTTTCCTAGAGCGAAGTCTCGCAGGTCCAATTCCGGTCCGCATAGCGCCTAGTGCTCTGAACGGTCAAATCAACTGTCAGACTCAGCCTTTCTCGGCAGCTTGAACAGATTTTCTCTATTCCAATTCGTTTGAACATCATATTCTATGCTAAAAATTGGCCGTTATATTGGAAATGCTTTGCTGTTTTCATAAACGACGAGATTGGCTTGATAAGTAAATCAGGTAACCATTTTATTAGTTTAGACTCTATCTCAGCTACATTGCGTGAAAGAAATAGCACGGCTAACTTAAACAGCAGATGCTTGTAGAAATATCCACTGTGACGATGATGACCATTTAGTTCAACGTAAAATAAGCCACTTTTTGACACTTAATTCAGTTTACCCAAGCGCCGCCATCGTCTAGTGGGTCACAAGTAGCTCAATATTCAATTGGATGTACTTCCAGGATGTAAGCACCGATGTACGCCCAGCTATATATAGCCCCAGTGTTCGTGGTCAGAAATCTCCTACCATCATCTTGCATTGTTAATTCTACCACAGACATGTACAAGCACTCTTTGGCTACAATTTTCTCGCGACCATTCCACGGATATCGCTTTTCAGCGCAACCCCACCAGACAACCCCTCTTGGTTTATGGAGTGGAGCACAGGATCCAACTCTTGTGAGTATGAACCAGGCGCAATGGTATAGTAGCGTTCTAATTATTGTCTTCAGCATTCCATCAATGACTCTTCTGATCAAATGATGCGTTCCTTATTTCAAGGATACAGTCCTATTTTCAAACCTCATTATCTGGGGTGGGAGGCAGAATCACTGCTGCGCCTGACTCCTTCCCAGCAAATGTGCTACTACGATGGCAAATTGTTTGGTGGATATATTGCCTTCCTGATGGACCGTATTCTTGCCGATTGTTGCAAACGTGACAAACCAGCCTTCACTGCCTACCTGAACACATCGTTCATTCAATCCGTTCAACCATCAGCACCAATACTTCTCCGAGCATGGCCGGAAAAGGTCGAAGGTCGCAAGGTTTTTCTCAAAGGTTCTATACAAATCCCTGGAAAGGCACCTCATGATTGGGTTGATGCTATTCGGACAGACGCGCTCTTCATCAGGCCAAAGCCCTGAATTTGGAGTGGAACGCGCGGGCCATTCCTGCAGCAGGAGTTGTGGCTGGAAAAAGTGGCTTCTTACGTCATCTTTGTTTTTCTGCACAAAGCTTAGATTTGCAGGATTTTCATTCGTTTGTGATTGGCTGTAGTCACATGCAGTTAGTTATCTGTGTATTGCTTAGCTCAATACTTAACTATCCCAATAAGCAGATAAGCTCTCTTAGTAATATTATCTCTGAAAGTACTGTAGAAACATCTTGCTAGCCTTAGATGACCCTTACTTGGCGGCCAGTACTGAAATAAGGCTTCGGAAATTTTATTATGCATCAAGTACACAACCGTTTCCGACATGGTCACTCCTCCAAAGCTTGATTTTGCTCCACTCAGATCGGCAAATTTTGTGCAGTTGCTACCTTCTGGTTCTATAGCTATAGTACTGTACCTCAGTACTGTACCTCTGCGCGCCTTAAATGCACAGTCAAAATATTCGAGTGGGAAGTAGATTGATCTGGAGTACGCTTTTGCCCTCCCCCTTGTGCAAAAGCTTTTTGAGGGCAATTTCCTCACCCTTTTCCGCACACGTGGAGAACACAACACCAAGAATTTGATTGCATCGGCCCTGCCAAATTCACACCGAGCGTGATTCCTCTGTTTAATTGCAGAAAAGTAAACCCTTTATTTTATGTCGCGACTTTGCGGTTCAGAGTAAAATCCCACTACAATCCACAGAAGTCCAAGCCAAACTGAGCTTATCTCGTACAAATGAAAAAGCCTGCCCACTAATACCTAAGTTTATATGAACTCCGTTGATCCCCCCATGCTCCTTAACATGCTCTTGTCAGTAGGGCACTTGATATGCCTCTAGTCACATCTAGGATCCACGCCTGGTTCGCTCAGATTTCCATTCCTGACAAATATGGACTTTGTGTTGCCGGTCTCCTGTTAACTTGGCTCGTCTACTGGCTTGGAAGACGATGCAGCTGTTGGGTCCTCAAGGTGCATCGAGTAGTCTCTTGGAGGCGGCTACTCCAATCGCCAGCGCCACACATCCTGCGGTGGCTCGATATATTGTCATGGTTACAATTTTCAGTTATCGCTGTTCTAGTTTCTGCCAATGTTGTAGCTGTCAGCCTTTGGACGCATTCATTTGCGGAAGTGCAGAAAAGGGCGGGCTCCCTAGCTGTTATCCACCTTTTGACACTCTGCTGCGGATTCACCTTCAGTCTCCCCGCCGATATTTGTAATATTGACCGACAGACGCTGGCGTGGCTTCACCGGTGGTTTGGACGTATATGTGTGCTTCACTGTTTGCTTCATGGGTCAGTCATTGTCAGTGTCGCTCGGAAGTCTGCCTTCACGTCTGCGTCGTATGTGGTTCCTTTGTTAGTAGGTGCTCTTTCGGAGAGTCCAAGCATTATGTTCTCCATTTTACTCGCCCTCTCTTGCCCCGAGCTTTCTGGCTGACAAAGTCCAGGCTACATTTAGTCTTCTTCTCATCGTACCGTTAACGCACGCTGCAATTCTTCGACGTTACTTACAGCTTGCGTTAAAATTCCACTACATGTTGGCAGCCATCGCCATGATTACCCTAATTTACCATCTGGTAGATCGGGAATCAGTCTACTGCTGGGTTCTGCTTGGTGGAGTCTGTCTCTGGCTTGCCTTGAGCGGAGCAGTGTTCATCAAAACTATGTGGAGTCAAAGATTATGGCGAAGCGCAAGGCATGGTGCTGTGGCAAGATCATGCAATGGGCTTTTGTGGCTCGATATTTCGGTCCCAACCCACTGGGAGATCCGTCCGGGTCAGTATGTGCAGCTGTGGTTGCCACGTTCAAAAATGCCATCATTTTGGCAGCTCCCGCTCTTTTATGTTGTATACTGGGAGAATACAAAACTGAATGAAAGCAGTATCGGGGGAAGCGATTCCGGTGGAAAAGTGCAAACCGTTCGTACTTTGCACTTAGTAACTCGACCTCGACCAGGACTCACCGCTAGGCTCGCCCGGGACATATATTTTGCCCAAAACAGATTAAAACCCCCTCAGTCTTCTATCAGTTTCCCTGTTCATGTGTTGGGGCCGTTTGGTCACCCGGATCGATTTGACGAGTATGGGACCGTCTTGTTTGTCGTCGAAGATATCGGGCTATTCCGTGCTTTATCTTACATTCGGCAACTAGTGCTGGGTAGCCGCGAGCGGAAAAACAAGATAAGAAAATTAGAGGTCCTTTGGCAAGTGGATCAAGACGAAAGAAGCAATCTTGGTAAGCATGTTTATCGGCTTTTTCGGTAACCCCACATGTCTTTCTACTAACTTGAGGACTACAGCTCAGCAAGACTGGGTTCGTAGTCGGATCCAGCACATCCTCAGACTCGACAATCGTGACCGGGGAGGGTTCCACGTATGGCTGCACTCTCACGTTTCTACCTTGCTGTGCTTACAATGGTACAGATCTTAAATTTCCGAATTTATTGCCTTGGCCCCCCGCCGAGTGACATATCCCTTTACCCCAACAGCACTCGCATTCAGTATTATTTCGAACCTATCAGGCCAAGGGAAGAGTTAACAAGCTACATGGAGAATCAAAGCGGGAAGATGGTTGTTACGGGTAGGTGTATTCCAGAACGCTTGCCTCTCCTTTCCTCCTTTCTGGTATGCCTGTGGTTTTTTTTTTTTTTTTTTTTTTTTTTTTTTTTTTATTTAATCGAACGACATTCCTTTTTACGTTTACATGGCTAACAAATTCGGCATCAGTATGTGCTGGCCCATTCATTCGTGAGGCAGTGCTAGATACCGTTCGTCCAAGAACGAGCGAGGATCTGCGGTTGTTCAGTCTATATTTAGAGCCTTCATTTGAGTGGCTGAATGAACTTTCCACGCAAGCCGCAGAGTGCTCCGGCCAGACGGGGGCTCACGAAGGGCATCGGGATTTATCTGATTGCGCCTCTGTGCTTTCTGGAAGCACACTTACTCCTGAAAGTCCAAAGAGTGAAGATGAGAAGAGGCGCAAGCCAAAGTTCACCGGTGACGATGCGGAGTACGATGAAACATCTAATATTGCCTCTGTGCTTTCTGGGGGCACGATTGCTCCTGAAAGTAATGATGAAAGGTGGCGCAAGCAAAGGATTGCCGAAGGCGCTCCAACAGGGATATGATACACAAAAGGTTCAAAGAAATCTACAGGAGAGCGCTATGCTGTATAATAGACCTTCGGGGTATTTAACCCGCTAGATTCGAAATTAGTCCAGTGTTTTTATAAGAAATTCTCTTTCGTTGCCACACAACCCCGTCGGTTTTCGTTGGTGAACACTCGTGAGCCGTTGAAAGCAACACTAACACTGCAGCTGTTTCGACTGGGACCAGTGACCGGTCACAACGTTCACAATTAAGCTTACCGACGCGCTGCTTAGTCGGTTTTTTTAGATGAGCTGCAGAGCTGTGGTATATCGAGTGGATCCCACCCGCTACATTTAAGGAAGTTGTGTGTACTTCCCTCTCAATCCTCAGCAAACCACTCTCCCCGCCCTGGCTAAGAGAAATTTTCGACATGGACTTGATTCATCTAGATTCTTCTCGAAAATCTTGTTAATTTCTGGGTCCAGAAAGCTAGGAAAATTCGTGATATGCTCTATAAGGGCCAATGTAAACACAATCAACTCTGTAAGCCTGAATTAAACGATTCAAAGCTAAGGTTAGGCAGCAACATCGTATCTGCCAATACGCGTTCAATGGCCTTGGTAATACGTTTATAGTAAGCATATGGAACCTTTTCCCAATAACATAGAACCTGAACGGTTGTTTAATTACCCTTGAATTGCCAGTGACGTCTAGTTGGAGGAATGAACAAACAGGTGAAGATGTTCCCGTAGTACCTACCTAATAGCAATCAAAAGGCCGGTTCTTCTAGTAGCCTATAAAGCCACGCCCGGCGTGTTTTTCTCATACCTTCCGCATTTCCTACTTACCAACAGTCAGAGGCAAACAACCTAGCCACCGAGGATCTAGCCACCAAAATATCCATCTTCGTCACTCAAGTGGGTCATCAGTGAGAGTGAAAAGCGATTCAAATTAACAGCGATTTCTAGCAATCCCACAATTTGTGCCAAAGATATGGATGAGGAAATTCTCCACAAACGCCCAATAGAGTCCAGACCACATACCGAGAAACTATACCATAAGACCAAAGCTGCTTTGTGTGTTTCATTGAGAGCTTTAGCCCTATTGGCCATATTATGTGGCTCTGTGTCAGCTGCACTCGTGGGTGGGGGTCACCTTCCTCTTTCCGGCGGCTGGACAGACAGGAAGCCTATGTTTACATGTAAATATTCATACATGTCCACCGCAGCTTCGCCTGTGCCCCACACGTGGCTCCCGAGCGCTGAAGGGGCATGATCACTACACTCTGACCCGATAATAATTACACTAAGCTTCTCTGATATAAGACAACGAGATGGAACATTCTTGAGCTTTTAGGACTAGGATATAATAGTTGGGTTCAGGAGCCCTCGCACGTTGTGGTGCGATGGTTTATCCTGCGAACCTATCTAGTTATGGCCGGGATGGAATGCCACATAATACTTTCACGCTTCTAGGCAGCAACCTGTAGTCCCACTCGATGTTTCTTTTGTGTACTGCCGATCCTAGGGCAGTTTGCGGGCTCTAATTATCGACAGTATAATGCCACATAAACAGTCGTATCCCGAAATTGAAACCATCTCGTATTCAATACAGTCGATCAGCTTAGATAAGACAGTTTAATGGCCCCCCTCATTCACTCTGCTAGCTGCCTCATACATCGGTTCTGAACTGCAGCCCTCTGAGTCCACTAAGAGGCTACCGATGCCAGTGCTGAGTTTGTCAAAGGCTTGTCCAAAGTAGGCCAGTTCCTCTTCCTGTTCGGCGTATCGACCTTTCAAGAATTCACTCTCTTGGCATAACTGGAGGTTTGCCGTGCGGAGTTCCCTATTCGCCTTCTTAAGACGTTGGCTCTCAGACTTTCTTGCAACATAAGACTTATACAGCCGTCGGTAAAGCCTCACTATTTGTGCAGCCTGGTGCGCGAGCTGTGGGTTATCTTGATTCAGCCGCTTTAATTCTTTAACGAGCGGTTGGAATGGTTTAGCGGCTAAGGTGTGTGCCTCGTTCGGGGGCAGCTGTAACTGTGGGAGCTTGTTGCTAAGGTTAGTGTGCAGCTGCATGGGGGGGTGCAATCGTTGCTTACCGGCTGCTGACCTAGATCCTGTATCGCTGGAAATTCTGGGAGCTTATTAATGTAACCTGGCGGGACACTTCCTCTACCTTGGTCTTGCTCAACTTTCGCTTCATGCTCATTGTGAAGACCATCCATTGTGAGAGTTTGCTGCTTGGTAGTAAGGTCTAGGGCTTTGGCATAGGAGAGACTTTATACTAAGTGACTGAGCTAAGGTTTGAAGAACAAGAGAATAGTCGCGGCGTGCCATGTTTCTGAGGTGTGTCTGGTGTTGTGTACTCTTGCTTGGTACATTGCACCCATCCAGATAGAGAGGGAACCCCCGTCTTATTGTCTGCCATGGTTCACGCGTACAACATGTAACAACAGTTACTTATTAGAGGGGTTGGGGCTATGACAAAGGTATGCGGGCAAACTGGATACTGCTTTGCACAGGAAGTTTTATGGCCTCGTTCACATCCTCACGTTGAGTGGTATGTTGAGTGAGCCAAGTTTTTTGATGGGTGTTGATTTGGTTGTAGGTTCCTTTTTGGCGAGGCTTCAACGCGACCGCATTTATGTTGTTATTCTGTCTATCTTCCTATGTCTAGCTACGATAGGTTAATCCGGATGAACTTTTACCCGCATCGATGTCTCTCTCGTCTGCGCGGACCATCCCTATATTCGCCTCTCAGTCAGCAAGAAGAGAGACACGAAATATGCTATGCTTACGATGGTTCTACGATGGATTGATTTGGGGTGTAGCATCTGGACTTTGTACTAGACACATAAAGAAAAGGAGAAAGAATCCACATGCTCTAGTCTTGCGGCAGTGGTGGAAGCGTAGATTTACTTATTTTTTGCGATGCCTATCACGAAATATATTTCAAGGTTGATTGATGACACTCACCCAATGCGCATCTTTTCTGGAATTCTGACGTTTGATTTCCGCTCTCTGATACTACTGCATCACAGGACAAGAATTTTGTCGTGAAAAAGTGCCTTGCTAGGGATGGTAATCGAATAGTGCTGAATTCAGTACCGTAATGTAAAATATTTTTATCAAAACTTAGTTTTTTGATGTTGCCAGTTTAACGTACACTGTTAGGGCGCGTCTATTCCCCACCAGCGTGCTTAATATTTCGATCAGCAGGGCAGGGGTTCGAGTCCTACAGATACTCGTTTTTTTGAGTTCTTTTTCAAGAACTGAATTTCCAAAAGCACCTGCCACCTGCTTACAGATTGCCTAATTGGAAGCTCCGTGTACGCCGCTCGCATTCCTGAACGACCAAAAGAGGCGGCGTCTTATCTTGCCGTGATGTCCAAGATCTTGCCTTACGCTCTCATGTTGCCTTCGATTTCGCGGGTTGTGCTGTCAAGCTGAACGCTCTTTGTCTGGGATTGCCGCAATCAAGACACCGAAGCATAGGAGGACGGATAGACGCAGGGTAAACATGACGTGATGATTTCTTGATACAGTAGCAAGAAGGCTCTGGAGGGAGAAGCAGATCTTTATCTACTCTACCAGCCCGCTGAAATTAAACGAAGCCTGCAAGTGGATCAATGTGTTCTTTCTCTCGGTTTCTGCAAAATTCTATATTATATAGGCCTATGTGTAACTCGGATCTGAGGGGAAATGACCGTATTGATTGAGTTAGCTACATAACCGCTTTCGTAGAACACTTGGTTATAATAACAACCCAATCGTGGCATATTGATTACACGTCTTAGTCACCCTAGACCTTACACTTGCGTTTCCGCTTCTGTGTCTTATTAGACTCGACCGATGAACATTGACGAGACGCTCTGGGGCGCAGACGTTGGAGCCAGGCTTGCCGAATCGCCTTATTAGTAATGGCCTGGTCTTGCTTTTCCTTGTCGTCCTTCTGGCCGAGGATTTCGGGAGAAGTCCACCATGCGGACTCAAGCCCCGGAGACTGCTGACGCAGTCGTAGTGTAATATGGCTGCGTTCATATGATGAACTGATGGGGATATCTCCCGTGGCTCTCTCCTCCAACCGGCGCGAATGACCCAGAACTCTTTTCTTCCTCGTTGTCGATGTAGATCGCATCTAGGGCGGATGGCCTAGTAGGCTGAGTCTCTCCGGAGAAATGGCTCTATTCTGGCGCAGTCGCCTGGGAGAGATTTGCGCCATCTATGCTGGAGTTATGCTAGAGAAGATGAATGATTCTGGCAAACCCCACACCGGCCATCAGCGGATTCTTAGAGTATTTATTTTGTCGGAAAGCGCTACTATGAGCCGGCCCTTTCGCTCAATTACAAATTGTCCCTTTGGGGACAATGGAAGTCCCCCTTAGGTTTGACAAGAGCTATTCGAACATCCGCCCTTTGTCCGACTCAAAATCTGAAACATTAGAAAGTCTGGATCTGTATCTCCGTGGAACTATCATAGTTGCCACTAGCCTCTTTTCGAGATCTGAGGTCCGGTAATTGTCATCCGATTCTAATAGGCGACGGAAAAAGAGTCAGGCTTTGCTGGGTTTTGCACTATAGTAATATGTATTACGTTTCCTTAACGAGATATTTTAATTGCGTACATAAAGTAGTCAAATACAGCTGCGGGAAAAACCACCCTATGGCTACTGCAACCATAGGTGAGAGCCTGGGTATCTAACAATGATTTACTAAACACGTATGAAGCAACAGAAACGTGGGAGATTCCGAGTCCTAACTCGCCTTAGCCTTGGGCTGTGGCGCCCGCCAATGTGGTAATTCTGGCATTTAAACAGAGGTGGTTATGAGCCCCGTGCTAGATGGTGCGAAGAAATTCTAGTACAAGGGTATCGACAATAAACGTTAATAGCCCGGTCTATAGATAGATACGTATGTAGCCCACGCTTTGATATAGACTAATGATTATCAGTCAGGAAGGGATCCTAAATGAGACTTATAAGCAACGAGAAACGTGCTCTGTCTAGGCAGCAATGCCGGGAAGCTCTGGCAGCTCATATTCGTACGACGCCTAAGCAAAGAAAGCACTAGACGTGGTTAGCAACTAACGGCATAATTAGATGAGCGATTAGGTCTAACTGTCGCACCGAGTCGGGTCCGATTGCAGCCCTCTGTAGCAGACGGCTACGCATGGTCGGTTTCGGATTCTCAAAAACATCTATTGAAAACAAATTTAAGCAATAGGACGGTTGGCTTCTATCAGGACATACGTGATGCACTTAGGTGTTCGATAGAAGCCGTTAGTCCGTAGACATTGCGAGATTTTGACGCAGGCTCTAAGATGAGCGCCGAGGTGAGCTACCTATGTTTACGGAATGTCAAAATGCTGAAAGATTAAGCGCCCGACCCTACCGAAGCTTTTAAAGCTACCTAAGACGGATTCTAGGGGTGGCTCTTTCACGGTCACTATTCAACGACTGGAAATCGCAAATAAGGAACTTGCAGCCGAACTTGTACGTGCCAAAGCCTACTCGGAGGATTTGCTCAAGGAAAAGCTGGAATAGGAGGTAAAGTATCGAGAGATTGACGGGGAACTCGACGCTAGCCGACGTTTGGCGAAACATTTAGAGAGCGAGCTAGTTCGCGTGGGAATGGGTGTTACGGAAGCTATGAAGATATTGCAAGACCACTAGCTTCTAGAAGGAAGCCAATCATACGTATAAGAAGAGAAATAGTTTTTCACTAGTTGTGCTGTGGCCTCGTCTTTACTGTACTAGGCGGTTTTCTATTTTTCTGTTCTTGAACTCAAGGTTGCAAATGTTTTAGTAAGCAAGCTATCCTACTATGCCTAATAAAGCCTTACGTTTACCACTGCAACCAAGCCCTTTTTCTGTATATGCTTTTAATATGTTGTCGCATTCTTGTAGCATAATATAAGTTTGAAGTTTCTGTATCGTATGTAGTAGTTATGTCCTAAGAATAGATATATGCATTGAGGTCGTAACTAGTCTCTACGTTGAAATTGCGGTGGCATATATTCTTTGTCTAGTTCGACGAGAACATAAATGCTTGGAGGCTAGAGATAGCGCTAGTCAGCAGAACTATTAAGAGACAAAACCCGTGGTCATCCTCTTGTACTAGCCCCCTTATCTCATAATGTGTAATATATGAAAGACAGGAGGCGAGCTTCGCTTTAACTACGCGCCGGAAAGTTGATATCATAGTGCGAGGTCTTGTTTACGATATTCACCATAAGTTTTAGTTCTGCCTGACCTTTCAAGGAAGCAAAAAAGCCGTCCTGGTTGCTTAGTTTCGATCTTCACAATAGGTCAGGCCGACTTACTAGCATCAATTCGTCTAGTTCGACCGTATCCAGCCTGTGTGGGAGATTCCGAGCCTCTACGCTCTACGGAAAATCAGGGTCGAATTTCTCGTTCTTTTTCATTAATCTTTTGACAATCTCCGACAATGCGGTCAACTTCAGAGTAGCCGCATTCATGTCCTTAGGATCGATGCGGCAACTACGTTCCACGCTAGCTAATAGGAGGCCGCGTTATTAGAGACTACGATGACTTCGCTATATGTTCGGGAGCTAGCGTACCGATCCTGACCCTACCAGACCCTATAAACAAAACCTCGTCGTTGGTGAGTGTGGCAAGTGCTCTATCGCAGTCGCGGAGATATCTGATTCCGATAAGGATCTATAGAGGGTTAGAATTGGTCTCGAAGTGGGCTTGTCTCTCTAAGAGCGATAGAAACGGTTGGGTAGATATACTGGCCACACAATCGAGGCAATCTCGGTCTCACTTAGGATATACTTAGATCCTAGGACCTAGGACAAGGAGTATTCGGCCGGCTCCCACACCAGGAACGAGTGATCCTTATGTTGGTAATAACATAGGAGACGTAGGAAACTGCGGTAAGAGAGGTCGTTGATAGTCTTTACCAAAGACTGTATTGAGGCTGGCTCCGCCCTAAGCTGTTGAATGTGTACTAGCTCCAATTTATTCTCTCTATTCTAGGCCAGAAATATTCCCTTTCGCGGGAAGATTTCAATGCCTTTAATATACACCGACCAAGGATCTCCGCTTAATGGCTAGAGACTGGAAGTTGGTGTTTCTGAAATTCGCTTTCGCTTCCGAAATGTGACCAACGGCTTGGTCGGGAGTTTGGCTTTAGGGAGGGTGGTTGGGTTGGACTTGGTGAGGGTGGTTAGAGCAGCTGCTTCTTTCGTCCGCTCTATAGGTCCGGTGGACACACTATCATTGCCACCGGAATTGGCTATCGTGGGGAAAAACATCGTTTCCGGCCGAGTGACCTTAGTGCGATTGGCATCCATTGTGGCAAACTTTCGTTGAAACGTTTGGAGAGGATTCGTTTGGGAGAGGATTAGGTGATTTAATCGATTTAAGGAACGGAGGGTTATATTCCTAGCCTGAGTGCACGGTTCTTCTATATGTGTTCTGCGCTTATTGATAGCTGAGGCATTTGAATCAAAGGCCACGAAACGTTATCAATATGTACGTTGCAACGACTGTTTATTTGGCAGTTCAGAAAAGGATGATTCCCCGCTCTGTACTATTGCTTCGGTGTCTAGCGATCGATGACTGATGACTGGGTGAGACGCCGATAGGGCAAGCTGTCAAACAACCACGACTTAGCTGATGTTGATGGCCACAAAAGATATCTTTTGCCAGTCTCTATAAAAACCTTTCCCCTTTTTTTTTTTTTTTGCGGTTGAAGCACGTTAGAACTGAACATTGGCCGTTTAAACTACTTGGCTGTCACAGTTACAAGACGTCGTAAAGCGAGAACAAGATAGTGTTCATCTACACTCTTTGTATGCCTCTTGTCTCTTTAGTCATAGTCTGATGTAATTATGGAAACGAAACAGTGTCTTTTGATCAACTTAAGTTCTGTCGAGCTTGGTTGTCACGTGTAATGTTGCTGCACAAAGATACAAAATACATGATGATCACACTAAAAGAATAGTGCCGTGCGATTAAGACCAACTTATATGACGACCTATATCTATCAAATTCTGTATATTCAAGAAGCGTTCTAGACCATGCATCTTCTATAGCTATCAAACCAAATACGTAAATAAACATGTACAAAGAAACACAGTACAGCAGGGTTCAATTTTTAACTTCAGTGAGGTCGTTAGCCGATGGTGGCCAATAGAGAAGGTAATTCATAACGTTTGTTTATTTGACGTAGGGTGCAATCGGCGAGTACCTAAAGTAGTTGACCTGTTTAAACAATTGACGTGGTCAAAATGTGGTTGCTAGTCGCAGTGGAGCCATCCTTAGGTCACCTTAGGACAGATGTGCAAAAGTGGGCATTTTGGCGTGCGGTTATGTTTAGGAGGCTAACCGGTCAAAAGGTGATGTAAATTTGTTTAGTGTAGAGTTGACTGATTTTTCTTTTCAGACTCGTGAGTGTAAACGCCTGATTTGGGCGGTGAAACTGAGCTGGAACTCTTTTCCACACTTTTGCGGGCGTGTAAAATGAAGCTGGGCAGTTAGGTGAGTCCTGATGGTCCGTAGAAATTGGTTCACCCACGTTTATCATATCCTTATGTGCTCTTTTTTGATACCCTCACATAACGGTACGTGTTCTCACCTCCCGCCTTTTTTTTTTTCTTTTTTTTTGTTATGATCTCACATTGGGCAAACACAGGATGACACCCTGGCAAATTCTTCCCCCTCTTCTTTCTTTCGTCTGTATTTCGTCTGGTGCTTGAGAGAAGAGTCGCTTTGGCTTTGGCCGAAAATTTCCTGCTCATTGGTCTTACACAACCTGGAGAGCTCTCTTGGACGACAATTCTGGTGATTGTGACTGTCTTTGTCGCATCGGCTTTCTTCCAGACTCACTCAGAGTACGCTGTTTCAGTGCAGAGTACCTCTTCTGGTGCAGCCCCATCTGGCTGACCAGTCAAGAATTGGGATGGCAATTGCGGATGCCGTGCGGATACCCTCGTCAACAGAATCAAAGCTCGAACTACTGCCCTCTCCGAAAATCTCGGGTTCCAGAGGACAATGGCGATCTCCAAACCGGGAAGGCTTTTTACGGGCGGGTTACAATGTTCCCGTGCGACCTTCGACACCTGCGTCGGTCCGGCTTCAAAGACGACTATCACCATTCGTATCTCTACATGGGTTACCCAGTCGGCCTCCGAGCCTGCTATAGCCCTTTGATCAATGCTGAGCCACCATTCCGACCTCGGTCCTTGCTGCCTACCAAAAAAGCATAGTTCAGCATTAGACCCGAAAATCACGCCTTCAACGGCGGCGCAAACCTGTCGATGACTCAAAAGCTAGAGGAGTTTCTCTTGTCCGATGTGGGTGCTATTCGGGAATTGGTGGTGACTATGCACTAATGCTTTACAGGGAGAGGATCCTGCCGAATGGCCATATACGTAACTTTTAACGCCGCCAAGTGTCACTTGGCAGTTGAATAATCCACTTTCGTTCTGGTACCTGTACAACAGCAAAAGGGAGCTTACCGCAATGATTGTGCAACTGCAGACGTCATATGGTGAGCGCAGGCTGTGGCTCACACGAAACTGCCTGCCGACTACTGCCGGGAATGGCCCTTACACCTTTCAAGAGAAATTTAACAAGGATCTACAAGTCTCGCCATTCACACCCACCATGGCAAGCTATGTGATTAACTCGTCTGATCCATGTGCAGCCCCCTTAAACAAGCTGAAGATCATGGTCACACTGAAAGGAGAGAACGAAACAATCATGCACGGGGTGGTCAACTCTACCGGTTTGCCCCTTGACGCTGCCACTGCGAGCCTAGGTTCTTCTATGCATTTCCTCATGAGCTGGTGGTGGGTTCCAATGTGTAGCGTGGTGGTTTTCCGGCTTCTCTGCAAGGCGGCAAAGATATATTTGACGCACAATGACAAGGAGCTTAACATCCAGACAAGAGCAGAGCCTACCACAACTGCTATCTCCAAGTCTGCACAGCTTTCCGAAAGGTGAGTCTTGAGCCTTGTTTACCTTTTTTTAAAAGGAAGATCCATGATTGACTGCTTCAAAGGTCATTGGAAAAATACTTTTCCATGGTCTTATCCTCTGTCGTCCGCAGGCAGTCGCGCATAAAAAGTGTCAAATATATACCTCAGGCGAGCACTGCGCGAGGACTCGAATCATGTACTCATATCAGACATATTCTCGTGAGCGCGGTCCACGTGACCCCGATGAAGGGCCAATCCAGGAAGCCCTCGAATAGATTGTCTTTCGAGTCAACAGTCCGACCTTCTTTTCCAGATTCTTTCACTACAAGTCACCGTTTGCGGCCATTCAGAGCGAGCTCTTTGGTGATGAGCCAACCCGTACGGTGTGGTCATCCCACCCACAGGAGTTTGCCGCTTTGTTTCCGCACGACATATTGTGATATTTGCCACCTGCGTCCATTGAGCGTCCGAAGACGCGTAATCTTTTGCTAGTTCATTTCTAATGAATAAGCTACACTCTTTCTGGAGTGGTTAGGCAGCGCAAGCGTACAGTGGATGGATGGATTCTTTTACGCTGACCCCTCGTGAAACGATATGCAGCCTCGAGCGTACAGTGGTGTTCGAAATCAGTTTTACTTCCAATCTCTCTCTCTGTTTCCCAGAGCCCACCTCAAGCGCACTAGTCCGTATTAGGATATATTTCGAGCCGTCTTGCATTTGTCCATGTATCTTCGGTGAGTCAGCGTAATTACAGTGCTTGCATCCCTTGTGTCGGATTCGCCGAAGCTATGGAGAATGGCTGTAATCCCCGTGGCTTATAGCTATATACTAATTTTGTTAGACAGGGTTCACCGTGGCTAAAGAGACAGGATTTCCGCAGGCCTTACTCTACGCGATGCAACCTTACCCCTTCCCCTCCATCGTACTCGCCGATGGGCGCGACTAAATACTATGCCACTGCTTCGATGATCTTCATGGGAAGAGGACAAAGACTTGATAACGACAATCTTAGTCACGCCCAAATACACTGAAATTGCGATTGAAGTATCAACCACTAGACCACGTGTACAGGTAGCTGATAACTTCGGTTTCTACAAGATTTACACTCTTTCGCTCTTTCTCAGCGCCACTTTCAAGAACTAGTCCACTATTAGATTTGTTCATTATTTTAGTACTTGACCTGTCTTATGTGACGGAGTTGTATCGGAAGGGTTCACTGCAGACTACGCAAACTGTCACTTATCCACGGAGTGCCGCATGCCAGTATCGAAGATGGCTTGGATTTGAAGACAAATGTTCCTGGAACCTTGGTTACAGTACTTCTGGAAATCCGTGTCCACACTTTGATTGATTCTTGTCTTGGCTAGACGGCTGCTACATCGATACCCAGTCAATACACACTCCTTGTTCCGCCGCTCCTTCTGACCGTCCGTTACCGCCACCTTCACGTTTTTAGGAGCAATGTCCCTTAAAACCACAAGACCAAGCTTTCGCAGATATTTCCCGGGAATCAAGTTGTAAGAATGGGAAGGTGTATTGTATTGTAACTGATTTCGAATATCACTGTATCATACGAGTAATTATTCGGTGAACCTAAACCACATTGATCCTTTCACAGAAACACCCGGAGGCATTGCGCCATACAGCTGAACAGTCCAAGTGAGATCGTCCCCAATCATCCGTTTCGACGACAACTCCTCGTCCTGCTGCCGCTCTCCCCACGGGATGACTCGAAATCCAAATTCCGAAATCTTTCTAAGCCCCTCTTCTTCTTCGCGTTCTAACGCATTCGGCTTGCAAACCTGGGACTCCTTTCGGACTATCGTTCTCTTCGGGAAAAGGCAGTACCCGAAATCCGCAGAGAGAAAATTCAGCTCTGATGTCACACACGAATGTCGAAGAAATGTCTCATATGGATTCCTTGCCTCAGTCACTGAGATCACAACCACTTTCTCGTGCAATGTGTACCTCAGGTTCAGAACCTGCACCGTTAGTAAAAACCAACAACCTTCGGCTATCAGGACTAACCTGAGCCTGTGACAATGTTACCGTCTTGTCCAAGTAATATCCTTCCGATTTGGTCAAAAACCACTTCAAATGCTGCACTGTGGTTTCGCATACAATAACATGTAATTCGTCACAGCAGTTGACCTTTGTAAAAAATTCGAAAGCTGCCTTGCCGGTTACCACTGCTCCAGTCAAACGCAGCACATCAACAAAACTGCCAACTTGTCGAAAATAACGAGCGTAAATCCGATCAACTGCACCATCTGAGTATAAAGAGGGCTGGCATAGAGCACCACCATCAGCATCCACACTTCGTAACTCCGCCCGGTCATCTGCCGAAAATGTTGCCAGTAACCCTTCAACAGAAGGATATTCGCCGAAAAGTCTCTCCAGCGGTACCATTTCTTCCATTTTTGATTTAGATTGTCCACGTTCTCTGTGGAATGTTTCGCTTAGATTAAAATCGACTTCTTATTATGTGTATCGCTGATACTGGAGTGAAAGTGTTCATTGGAGATGCAGAAGAAATTGGGGGCTTCTCCCTCTCTTAAGAGCTCTAGAAATGTGTCGCGCTAAATTACTAACACGGAGGTCATGTGACACACCGTTTCGTACGATTTTAAAGTGCAGGAGAGCACGCTGCGGTTTGCATTGTTTGCACCGAACTCTCAGGGGTTTATAGAACAGCTTCTATACAGTGTTTATGGTAAAGTCCCGTCAGAGACGGCATTTAATATATTAAAATAACAGGCTAGACTAGTCCCCGAAAGCGACGCTGGGAAAGAGGGAAAGGGTGTAAATCTTGTACATAGACGCTGAACTTGTCAGCTACTGTAAGAAGAGACAGAAGAAAACAGAAGAATGAAGAGAGCACATGCACTCTTCTTTATCATGGATCTCCTAAATTAAGTTTGTCATACTGGTCCGCAAACTCATCGAACAGCTTATTTAGTCCAAGGAGGTACAAGGGATCCTTATCATCTTTGTTCACCCATGAAGCAAAGCATGTAATGGATGTCAAAAGTGATGGCCAACAAATATCCGTATTCGGATTCGAGGAACACTTGATCCCTGGAATATGAATCAACTGTCAGTTTATTCCACTATCTGGCATACTCGTCACAAAAGTGTCTCCTTTCCACCTGTGTATATTTCCTGGAACCTGTTATCCTGCTCTCCTCATCTAGCCACTTGAACTTCTTTTGCATGAAGTGCCCACCGATGTCAAAGGCTCGGTAGTTCTACATCACGAACTCAAAGTCAATCAGGGTGACTTTGCTCTCCCCTTCCTTCGGATCATCTTTAACCATCACGTTCATGAATTGGATGTCATGAATACAGTGGCGACCGCTACCGTCTTCCATGTCTGACAACACCGAGGCGCTTTTCAAACCCAAGCCACATGCAACGCTAATCCGGATATCGTTATTCCCGTATTTGAGGATGCGTTCCACGAGTGGAAGGTATAATACCAAACGAGTAAAAGACTTAGCAAGGTATCTTTCCATGCGTTGTTGCAGCTCTAAAACTACCACGTCCACCCTCACGTCGCGGCGGTTGCACCTCCACCTTGAGACAGAGCTACAACAGCTGCGAACCTGCCGCTGATTGTAGCCTGCTTTCTGCTATCATGATTTGCGTAAGCGCTCGACTGATGCCGCCTCAGCCACACTACCCCGCTTGAAACCAATTTCATCCGACCGCTGTGACCTTGCCTTTTCTTTGCTTTAGATTCTCTCACCTTGTGCGACAAACCTTAAGTTTTGCTTGACCCCATTCCGTCATGGATGTTGTTGGCTCAGTATCTGCAATTTTATCGATTGCAGCAGCGGGAGCCCAGTGCTCCTTCAAGCTTGTCTCATTCGTATCCCAGATCAAGGGGGCGTCTGAGAGCATCAGCAATGCCGCAGAAGATGTCTCGATCACCGCCAATATCTTACAGCAGCTTGGCGATCTGATTCAGGACACTATGGAAGAGCAAGCGCTTTCTGAGCGCCTTTTAGATAGAGAAGTCGCCGTGGAGTCAACCGCAACTTCCAGTGCCAACCCTTCAAGATCTCAGAAAAGCATACTTAATGAAACTGCTCTAGACATTGTCTTGAACTTGGGAAAGAAATGTTCAGATATTTTTGCTTCTCTGAATTTGGCTCTGCAGAATGCCAGCCAACAGCTGAGCGCAAGGCCGAGAACAAAACAGAGGGTTAAACTCACACACAAGGAGATGTTAAAATGGCCATTTCTCCAGCCTGATATCAAGAAGATGCGGGATGAACTTGCAAATATAAGACTACCTTGATGTTGATGTTGCAGATAGCAACATTAGCATATTCCAGAAAGGCACCAGTGAGGTAAGCCACATCCTCACTTCTTTTGAGTCAAATTGTCTAATTTAAAGTCAATACCATAGCGAGAGATTTACATACACTAAGGAAGACCAAGACTCTTTGGTCCGTGCAATTCTGGCCGCACAAAATAGCCAGAACGAGCACCCAGGAGATGATTCAAATTTTGCTGCAGCCCCAAATGCCAAATCTCAAACGTGCTCAACTCTTCCTTGTCAAGTAGACATGACTCAAGACATACTGAGCTCACGAGATCCATCGGTTTCGTCTCAGTAAGTTGACTATCATAAATCTTGACTGTTCCAACTAGCGACTAACATGTTTCTCCTAAGAGGTCCGCGCGCCGCCGAATCATCTGTCTTGATTGATCAAAGCATTCCATCGACCTCTGATAAGCCAGCAATGAAGGGAGCGATTTTGCTATTTCCGAAAGCTTGTCTTACGAAGTCTCAAATTCACATCGACTACGAGCTACGTCCCCTTAAGCTCCAACAATCCGAAATCGAAGCTCAAGTACGGACTTGGAAAGCCTCTTCTAATAGCACCCTTTTTGATCAGCTACACACTCTTTCGCCGGAAGAACAATCAGTCCTACATGATGCGACTAAAAGGGACGATTATCTAACATATGTTGAATGGGTTCATTTCAGTGACTTCAATCCACTTATCAGGGGTATGGAAAGCACTAGAGCGCGGACTATCACTCTGATCCTACATTTAGAACCATTACTTCTCCCACTATTGGATAGCGAGAGCATTGACCTTCCTTTAGGAAGAACACTGTATCGCCGAACTACTAAATTTCAGTTTGGGCCTGAGTCTGAGCCTGAGCCTGAGCCTGAACCCACACTTCCCTTTGGTGAAGAATTTGAAGAGAGCTCAAGACGAGTCGAATATTTGGCCGCAACCGATGAGAAATGGGGTGGAATGGCCAGTGATATGGGCGATGATGAAGTCGACCGTGTCATTGGTGATTTGTTGGCTAAGTATACTACCCTTAATGGGATGTGATATGTGCCCTAGGATTCACGAACATTGATGGTTCCAGAGAACTCCGTTAGAACAGGATCAAAAAGGGTATTGGATCCACCTCATTTGCTATTACGGGAGCTGTACTTGCAGGCCACCCCAGATGGCTGCGAGAGCAAGACAAAGCCTGGATGTACTTCGGGTGTTTTCAGTGCATCCTGAGCCTGGTCATTATATCCACCGGGGGTTATCTAGCCGACCACGTGCATGGCTTCCAAACCTCCTTTGAAAGGTTAAGCGGTAATGACAACTTTCAGTATTACAACATCATGTACTATGGAGGGGTTGGTCAGGCGGCTTATGGTTCTCTGGTGATATTCATGGCCATTGCATCCTTTGTCGCTTTTATGATCTCTGACCGTCACAAAAGGAGCATTCAGCCGATCGAAGCAGCACGGCAGCCAGAGCAGTATCAGTGAGGTGTGTCCCCTCAGGTTTGGTGTCTTCCCAAGGAAGGCAGCAGAGGCAAGAATGAGGTGGTTAGTGAGATACAGCCATCGGCTTTGATAGATAGAAGGCTTGAGTAGACAAGGATCATGCATGATTGAACTATTGAAGAACCATGGCAGGTAAAGGCCTGTAAAGGGAAAGGGCTCAATTGTTGTTGCACGGCGAGACGTTTCATTTGTCCCAACGTACTATGTCGTTTTTATGTAATATCGAATATCACAAGCAACGTTTGGTAGCGATTAGTTTTCTTAGTTGAGACTACGAGGGTAGACCCGAACTATCATGAATACTGTCGAAGGTGGCTTTGAACAGCCTTTACCCCTTATTAAACTCCAACCATATCCCCTATTCATAAAGAGAGTTTACTGCCACTTCACAATTGCATCTTTACTCTCTTACGCATGTGCCTCTTGGGAAGCTTTCTTTATTCACAATATGACATCGATACTTTCTGATCAAATCAAACTGTCTTTCATAAAAGCGATAGGCGATCCTCGGCTTCGTCCACAGTGCATCTGGGTTAGTGAAAATGGGCGGGTCTGCCCTAATGACGTTTCGATGGACAGTCGTAACCTCGCTAGCACTGAGCTATCTGCCTTGGAGGGTAATATCTCTATACCCACTCGGAAGAACATCTCAAGGATCGCTAGTTTTCTATTGTGTGAAAATTGCAAGGTTCATGAGATCCAATGTCCAGAAATCGTTCGACGGCTCGGTGAAAAGTATCAACAGCCACGCCGCTCATTGTTCCCTTGTGACGGTCTTCTATACTACTACAGTATCAGGGAAAACTGGGTTTCTCCAGCAAGGCATACAACGAGATCTTTTGAGCCCCGAACGAGCAGATGATGATAGCTAGGAAGGGTGGGATGACTTCGAATGAATTGCTGTACAATAGCTCAGGGAAATAAAATAAATTTCATGCCCAGAACAAAGGGATTTGACGTTGTGCTTCAAACAGTGAAAGCATGGACTTGGCTGACTAGACCTTCGATAGCTCCGAAGGCCTCTATAGATGTAAGGCCACGTAATGTACTGCTAAGTCTACTGCCTCAGTCTCATGTAGCTCCAAAGCTGCCCCTAGAAACAATGCATCTTTACTGTCCACATTCACCGAAAAGAGCACATCGCCATTCGTTCCAAGTCAAAGAGCCAGGCCCTTCGTAAACGCTACAGCAAGTCAGGTCTCCTCTTCGCAGTCGGATAGTGCATCAAGCGAGGACGGAGATTTGATTGGAAACTGTGATCTTTCAGTTCCAATTCCCAGAATGTGCATTATATGAGACTTACATCGGGCGATGACGCGCAAGAACCCCTCGTGCTTCCGTCTTCAGTAAATGGGCCGCCCTCCAAAGCGGATGCGAGCAACAACGTTCTCGGTGTACCGGCCCTGGGCTTGATTTCTTCTGTTGGTTGAAATAGGGGATGTCCTTCCAAAGCCATATGTAACCGGAAGGTGAGGATTTGCGTGCCAAGTATGAGTTTCTGGTCCACCATGATGAGGTTGAATAGGGGCGGTTCTTTGCGAAGGAGGAGATGCAGAATTAAGTTGAGGGCAAGGTGACTCTTATATTTTGCGGATACCACCGGCTGCGTCATGAAGATTGAAGCAGTACGGACATTCCCTACTTGCTGCGACTACTCTCATGTCATTTGTACTCAGAGTTGGTCGATGTTCCCAGGAACAAAGTTCGTGAAAAGCATACATCCATCGCTCTGTCTTTTTAAGCGAGGGCTTGCGGTGTTTGCATGCCAAAACCAGCTGGCCTAGAAGGTCACCAAACATGAGGTCTGCTGTACCTGGGAACAGCAGAGGAGATGCAATGACTACTCGTGTGTTGCAGAGTGCCAATGTGCGAATGTGGCTGTTGCCTGGGTTGAGCATACAACCAATGCATTCGAATTTTGCCTGGGTTAAAATCAAGACGGGAATCGCCTCCGTGCGCAACTTACATCTGCCCTGAGAGGTGAGAGCTAGTGAAATATACCAACAGAACGGGAAGATTATCTGAAACGGCCGGTGCCATATCTTCCATGTCTGACAGAACGCGGAGATGTTGAAATTGAAAGGGGAGGGAGCTCTTCCAGGGTACATAGAAATTCGTTCCGGATAGCCCCTGTCAGACTGGGGTTGGAGGGGTTGGACCTAAACGGGGACACAACCACGGAGTGGATTTGACTGAGATGCTTTTGTCACACTCAGGGTGAACTCATGTACTGTTCAGTGATATGGAGCAGTGCCGACCTGACGACGGGCAAAGAGGAAATAAGCAGAAGATGAAAAATACCCAAAATGCCTTTTAAGGAAAAAGAAATGAACAGATACTTTTCCACGAATTGGTGGCGCTTGAAGGTCCCGTCGTGCACACTGCCCAATGAAACAAGAAGTACGACCTCCGAGGCCTCAACGTGGCCATGGTGGGTAATGGATGTTTGTTCACGCCCTAGAGTCATCTAGGAGACCATTGGATTAATAGTCCTGCAGGCTCCGGCTCACAGCTAGTTCCTGCTGTGATCGACCAAGTTAACAGCCTGACGTAGTTTATTCGGGCAAGTGTTCTATTCCAGCGAGCTTACTTGATTGACTCTGACATAGTTACGTGGGAGTAGAGCCCACAATATTACGTGCCGATGCCCATGGGCAATTACCGATTTGGTAAATCATTGCGCTTTTGTTTCTCCTATATTCCACTTACCTTGCTTCTTATCCGTTGGGTGATCTTTTGGGTCCTTGATACAACACACGGGCAATTTTACAACAATCCCAAGGGGGACAGATTGAGGCAGAAGAGAGCTTCTTATAGTCAGAACTATATTACGGAGAACGCCCCTAGTGAGTATGTGGCAAACGCTGTTGCCACCCTAATGCTGACATATACACTCTAGAGCAATACTAGCCATTGCTCACCCTAAGCTATGAACTTGGATGTAGAGTAAGCGGGTGTTAGAAGTACATTAGGTCACCACTAACATCGTGTGCAGCGAAGGATATTAGATAATAACTACATCCGGACGCTTCGCAACCCTAGAATGAAGCTGATCAAGGACTCGATTGCGTAAGTCAGCTCGAACAGCGTGGTAATAGGTTTAGGCAATGAATACCCGACTGATTTTATCGTGAGCTACACTTGATTAGAGCATCCATAAATCATGCTAACCATAGATCGTAGATTTTGGCGACGGGATTCGAGTTCACGTAATAGAAGTCCGACGCTGTGACATGTAGGCAAGGCAAATCGTTAAAACGGCACTAGGACGATCAAGGCGGCATCGGTGCTTACAAGTCCGTGGCAATAAACGAGTTCCCTAATATGTTCTATTTACTTAGCCTAAATTCTGGCAGCGGACATATATCTGTTCTTTTTGCGATCGAGTGGTGAGTATTGTCGTAATATTGCGGTGATCTGTATTGACATTCGTTACAGCTCGGTCAATCTGGTTATTAGAATTGCACGTCCTATACTTTAGCGATAGGCATCAATTGTCGAGGTGAGCAAAGGGGCTGAGGTCGAGTGGTATGACACGATATAGACTGCTCTTAGCAAAACGGTGTTAACGCGCACCTGTTCCAATGTAAGTCTACTGCGGAACATCGACTCTATCTTGGGCCATTTACTAACTATGTCCAATGTAGCAATATACCGACCCGAAAAGTGGATGGAACTTCTTTTCATACCCTTTTAGTTCATTGTGTTTCTAGATTGGTACGAGGTTTCCTACAACGAAGCACTGGGAGTATGGCTAGCCACCCACGGCCACATGGAGCCAGAGGCTTTAGTGCATATATTCAGCAGTTATGTGGTGGAAGGCAATTTTCTTGTTGAAGGTTTTCGTACTTCATGTTTTTGTTAGATCATGTTGGACCATCTCAAACCCACCACTGGTGGAGCCCTCACTATGCTTTCTGCTAGCTAAATAGGGAATCAGATGAGGGGCGAAGCTGTCTAGTAGTCGGGTGGGCTATTCCGTGCTGAAGCTGTTGCTAAGAAAGGATAAAAGTGTATTTCGCGTCTGAGGCCTGGGCGTGCGTAGGCGAGCGCAGGCCTTCTGAAATAGACCATTGAGTGCAGTAGCATAAGTAGTTCTATCTGATCAAGTTAGAATTAACGAGGTTGATATAGATGTAGTGGCGAAGAAGCCGTAAGTGCCGCTATCCCGAATAATGGACTATCAGTCGCACAGTGTGTTCGCTCAAAACGATACTCGGCTTAGAAGGATACGCGGCTCTGATCCCCGGATCATCAAGCCCCTAAAACAGAGTGTTGAGAGTGAGCTCACCTTAGCCATAGGTTGCGCTAAAGAAGTTATCCCCCTTCCCTGTCTTCTTCACGCTTTCTGCTACTATTACGAAGATAATGCTGATTCGGCCTAGGCAAAGTGCGATGTAGTTGATTTGTGCTACTTGATCGGCTGTATGCGCGCAAATGGATATCTTAAGCGGTCGTATTAGTTTGCACCACTCCCATTGTTTAGCTCGGCAGGTGCGGAGGCACGGCTGCCGGCGGGGTCTCCCCTTTCTCTTCGCACTTCTC